AAAAAAAAAAACGACCGATCACGGAACGCCTGAAAAGGAGGCTAGAGATCGTCATAGTCTAAGCTTTACATCGAGTTTACTGGAAGTCGTGGGGAAAATGCCGCATCCAGCTTAAACTTTGTAGTGTTGAACTTCTACTTTTACAGCACGTTCAAGGTGACCGGCCTTGTGGCAACAAGGACATAGGTGGCCGCGCTTCGTTAGTCGTCTGTCAGGAACCGACTCCCCAGGGTTGCCTGGTAATTAGCAGATAATTGGGTGTGATTGCAATGTTACCAACCCCGGAAACACACTGTCAGTCAAGCTTGCGTTCGTGAGTGACACTTGTGATTTTTAGTCACGGGAATTAGGGGCAATTTGAGTGACTTGACTTTATACGACAACCGACAATGTCACAGGCCTGACCTTTGAAATGCTTGTGTGTTCGTAGCTATGTAGAGTTAATGAGATTATTATCTAAGACCTCGCGGTTAGATTGACAGCTCATTAGTAACATCGTTACGGCGTTGAACCTTACTGTTTCATTACTTTGCAAAGCACTTTGCAAGATGCCCTCCATCCACCCAATAGAAACAATGCATTGTACAGATCATTCTAGTAACACTACGTACCAGAAAGGCAGATATGTACAACCAAACTGGCATGATTTTGTTTCAATTTTGTAAAAAAAATACGGGATGCCTAATTGAATTCTTCTAGATCTTCGTTGGAATTTCAATTATGTTCTAGAGTATAGTATTTTCCCCTTGACTTCAACGCATGTTGTATAGTGCTGCTCCGGATCCTCGGACATACATATAGGAGTATATTTGCAGTTATATAATTGTAGCTAACCCCTCCCCTCCTCTTGACTCAGTTAACACACACACACACGCCGTCCGATCCGTACACCGGCCCTCTCCGTCATCCCGAACATACTATAACGTAATCGCGGTTGTGATCGGTCAAACCTCCGCTTGGAAAATGTCAGCTCTCCCCTCCGGGAGGCTATCAAACCCGCAGAGGACGGGACCAGCACGAGAGGGGCATCGTCTGACCCCGTCCTTCTGCCCTGTTAGATCTGTGAAGCTTTACCTCTCGGATGATGCGATGGTAAGACTGTGTTACTCTCCAAGCAGAGGTGGTGGGGGAATGATCGTTAGCTTACTATATATGGTCGTTTTTTGTCGCTACCCCGTCGGTGGCCGGCGACTTTCTCTGGCTAATGGATACTGTCTTGCCACCGAAAGGGATCTGCTTGGAGATTAAGACTGTGTCAAATGGATAAACATGGCTTCAATCTACCGGAAAATTACATAGAAAATTACCCTGAGTTAATATCATAGCAAATATTATTTGCAAAATATCACACCGAGAGGTATTAAGAGGATGGGTACTAATATCATAGCAAATATCATTTGAAAAATATCACACCGAGAAGAATTAATAGGTACTATAATTGTAAAGCTAGCCCTTTCAAAGAGAGAGAGAGGGGGGGAGAGAGGGGGGGGGAGGAGACGAAAAACCATACTGTGTCCCCATAGGGCGAAATAAAAAGTAGTACAGTTTAGAATGTCTTATGTAAATATGCGAGCTAATAGGCCACCTTTGCGTGTAGCTTGTATCTATGCTGGCAATTAACGTGCCCACAGAGAATTACCTGCTGGCATAAGAAAGTACTGCACAAGTAAAGCTAATGACGTGTATGTAGTGGGTGATCACAATAGTCTCAGACTCTCAGTCTGTGACCAAGCAGGTACCATGGCAAACTTGTAGCTTTTCCCCACTTATGTCAAATTAGCCTTTCATGTCCTGATGTTTACAGGAATTTGAAACATGGTAAATTGTTGTCCGTATTCCTCGTGTGAAATAGCTATAATTATTGAACTATTCCCCGAACCTACCCTCGTCCCTTACCTGCGAGTAAAATGCTCTCTTCCTACACAACCTGACTGAATTGGGACGGTTTACTTCCTCCGAAAATGAAGGGGGGTCAATGGAACAATGCAGCAAGTGGTCTATCGGATTTCTCCTTGTTTATTCTCGTCTATCGTACATGTCTGTGTTTTTCTTAGGTCACCTGCGTTTCCAACAACAGTAACGAATTCTACAAAAACAATCTGTAACCTAGTACTGATAATAAGCTACCCTCGGAGGCTCCCTTTGACTATAATGCGCCGGTCCTTTGCCTGTCGTGCGGTAGGAGAATTGATAGGCGCGGGAAAAGCCGGACCGAGTCACGCGCACTTGCTGCCGGCTCTTTGAAACGCTCTGGGCCCGAACTGCACAGACAAATATCCGGTACACAGACCACCGCGGACGATGGAAGGTTGGTTGACTAGCGTCATGATGTTTACGTGATGTAGGTGAGGTGAATTATTTTTAGAATTTCATAGTGTCTCCTCTTCAGATATGCAATATGGGATTATATGGTGCGCTGCTCTTCTAAATGTATCGCACTCAGTACGTTTTGTTCTGCTAGGAACAGATTTGTTAGTTTTAATAGTAATAAGACCTTTGTCTTTTTCTAAGATCTAATAGCTGCGATGTATTTATCACCATAACAGCTCGCGTATCCCACGCCATTGGGATTTATGAATGTAATTGTATATTCTGGCCCTACGTAGCCCAGGGAGCCAGGTCCTTTGTTCGGCAAATGTCGGGTGCTCCCTTTTGTTATCCCTGCAAACTACAAACGTCAGTTTGTGAGCGGCATATATACATGGTGATCATCGGCTGAGAAACAATATCAAACAGCGACCAAACAAAGGATAGCGTAGAAAAGCGTTAAGAAAATTGCACTCTTGTCCGTATATTGGAGTAGAAATGACGTGGTCGTACCGTCAGTTATGTGCCCGTTTTCTGTCAACCTACGCCAGACGGACACGATGAAAGCATGGTATGAAACCACGAGACCTGATTTCGCTTTTTAGATAAATCACTAATAAGACCGGTATATATAGAAATGCATGATTTTGAGATATCGGCAGGCAACCGTTGTCTTCAAACAGATATCTGGCTTAGGTTAG